TGTGTGGGTGTGTGTGGGTGTGAGTGTGGGTGTGGGTGTGGGTGAGGTGTGGGTGTGGGTGTGGGTGTGGTGTGGGTGTGGGTGTGGGTGTGGGTGTGGGTGTGGTGTGGGTGTGGGTGTGGGTGTGGGTGTGGGTGTGGGTGTGGGGTGTGGGTGTGGGTGTAAGTAAACAGAAGACCAACGCCCACACCCATACCCCACACCACCACAACCAAATAATTCCCATGTAATCACTGGAATAGTCTGATTATTCCATATATTATTCAGCTGATAATTGAATAAATTATTCATTAATGTATTACACTAATCAGTAAAAAGTAATATTACTATTGGACGTTTACCGATCCACGATGAAATATATTCAGTTTCAATCATAGCCCAACCTTGATTCCCGTAATAGATTGCTGGCAATTTAGTACTGACTGTTCCACAAGCATCGATCATTGGAACAATTATGAATATCGACAATAGTATTTTATTCAGATTCATAATAGATTTCTTAGTCTATATAGTTAGAAAACAAATAAAACTCGATGAGTTAGTTCAAATGAAAAACCAAGTTTTCAAATGATCTCATTGAGTGCGAATACTATACTTTACAACTGTTGGATATAATTGGGCACAATAATTTCTAATATTTTCTATGAAACTTGATCTAAGAGTTATCGTATGTGGACGGTCGGAATCTAAATTTTAGATTTCGATTCATTTAATATTTTATTATGAATTGTTAATCATTTTACAAAATTTTCCAAATAAAATTCGACATTGAATGTATATTCTAAGTCACACTGCATATAGAAGTCACGGTGCTCTGATCTTTCTGCCTTAGCATAGTGAATAAGTAAGAGTGAACTTTTTCGAGATTCGAATAGTAACTTACACATTTTAATTGACGACCAATTTTTTTGGTAAGAAAAACTTTGTTCCAGTAGCTAAATTCATTTGAAAAACTAAGTCGCAAAAGAGGTCAAATTCTAGTAGTGTTAGAGGATAATTAGAGAAAAACATTGCTTTTTTGTTGTTCTGAAATGAAAACTTCTGCTCTATCGATTTATGGAAAAAATGTCTTCTTCTTTTCATCTTTTCTTCACACAAAATAACTATTCTTTTTACACTAAGCGTTTGTTTTATATATCTGAGACATACGCTTAGTTAGTGTAAAGGTGGATTAACACGGACAACTCCATCGAATAGTGTGTCCATCAACCATTTTTGGATAATACGACTATTCAACAAAAGTTACAGACTCTAAGCACATATCTCTTTTTTTTTGAGTATCATTTCTATTTTGTCCGCAATTATGTGAAACTGCGGGGTTGCAATCGACATAAAACTATGTTTATGATGTTAGCTTATGATTATGGTCTGGTTATCGAAAAGGATAAGGTCTTGGTTGATCACAGATTTTATTATAGGAATTTGAGAGTAAGGTTATCGTCGTTTTTGTAAGACTGGACTTCCATCGGTTCTTTTAGAATGTTCTCAAAAAACACTTGTTTATTGCTATGTTCGAAATCAGTGTACTCAAAACACTATAAGAAACTATTTGCGAATCAAAACTACGTATTTTGAAAGTCACTTTTGTCTTTGAGAAATATCTTTCAAGTACCTCAGAGCTTTCGAAGCCACTTCATATGAAAGAGTGCACACGGAAACTTGTACAAAAAGTAGCTTTTTTAGTGTATTGGACTGCTTTAATACCAACTAAATATTTACGCACTTGTTAAAAATTGTCTTCTGTGACTCGGACTCACATCAGTGCGATGCTCAATGTATCTTATAGAATATAGATATATAGAAAGATAGAAGAAAAAAACAACGCTTTATTTTGTGCAACTTATGTATATTTTCGAAGAGAATAATGAGTGCAAATTTTAAGTCGAAGGTTTGTGACTCTCTCCTCGTCCTCATTACAGACTTTTGCAATCTAGAACAACCAGCACCTGACTTCTTTGCTAGAGTTCCTTAGCAGCGGAGAAAGACGATGAACGACTTTAACATTAACGAGATGACTTAGACTATTCTAGAAGATTCTAGAATATTTCAAAACCTTAGCCGAAATTTAAATGGCTAGAATACGTTTGTGAATGTTTTTAATAGTGCAGCTTTTGATGATGGATAGAAGTGGATTGATTTGCTACGATTGTCATATAATAAATATCAAAAGCGTGATTTGATCGAGATATAAAATAGTTCGTTAAGATCTGCTGCTGTAAATTTAATGAATATTTACAACAACCTTATTTGTCATTTAATTCAATGTTTATAATAATAACAATGTTAAATAAAATGCGAAATATGAAAAAATAAAATAACGAACGAATAGCAACAATTTAAACAAAAATCCGGATGCCCGTAAAAAAAGAAAAGAATTCTGTTCGAAATGCAGAAGTAAATGAGACAGATTCTTACTATAATCTACAGGAGGTTTTTCAATTTACGCATTTTGTATTAGTTTAATGAGAGTAAGGAACATATAAGAGTTCCACATTTCAGCCTCAAAGAAGCTCTGCTAACAAACTTTTTCTATAATATTTCAACGTTTTTCAGCTAGTATCATAATAATAAAATTTTGATAAGTGCTGTTTTTGTCTGTTTTCTTTCTTTTCTTTTAATCTCCTCTAAAGTCTAGTTGCTTGTATACACCAGAATATACAACAAAAATAATGATGACAATACAAAAAAGAAATACAGAAAGAAATTCATCAAATTTTCGAATAACTCTTGCTTGAATATTAAGTGCAGAATACACTTTAATGAAGAAGCGGAAATTTTTCTGATCTATTTGAAGCACGTGAAATATGCACACAAAAATAAACGGAACATATATGTATAGACGACTAGGTATAGAGTAGACGAGAAAGAAAAGACACAAGAACATCAATAACATGATTTACAGTGTAGACGATACTATTTGAGCAGACAAGAACTACTCAAGACATATTTAAACGTTGTAATTGCAGCTCCCATTTAAGTGTTTACACGTCCATTCAGAAAACATCAAAACCAGCTATTTTCATCGTAAAAGATGCATGAAGACGCTTAAGAAAGAATACTTTCGCACGTGAAAAATGTCCAAAAAGTTTTCTCACAAAATTTTTGGCATACATGACGCATAAAAAAGTCGGTTTTATTTGAAAAAAAAACTTGCCTTTTTAAGCGTCTTCATGAATCTTTTATGATGAAAATAGTTGGTTTTATTGTTTTCTGAATAGACGTGAAAAAGTTCAAACTATGACTGTTACGGGTACTCAGTCAAAAATTAGGGCATCAAATGCAGTATTTGTTTTTATTTTTGAAAATCATTCAAAAAAAAACAAGCAACAATGTAAATGTTGGCTACATGCATTTTAAGACAGTAGAAGACTTTGAAGTTCATGAAGCCATTTTTACACTCATATGTTCTCTTTCTTGCATAGTTCAGATTCGATTTATTTTGATTTTTCTCACATAATATTCATCTATTGTTTTTTTTTGGATTCTACGATTCGAACAAAAGTGAACTATTACTGTTTTTATTTCACCATCGTACAGTTGAAAATCTCTCATTAGAGAGAGAGTGAGAGAAATCAGTATCCATGATCATGATTTTGATATTGCTAGACTTGTCATTTCATTTATTCGGGTACAGCATCGATTGATGATCCGGTACTCGAATGAACTGTAGACGTCATCATGCGGTGTGATTGGGATAGTGACGTTGCCCTCATCCACACTTGATAAAAAACAACCACATAGCAACGCACCAGAGATAACACATGCCTATACCTCCGATAGCCAGAAATACTACCGTCACACTTTGTGTGACGCATGTAGTTCTAGTCACGTCATGATGTTGTGTCAGGAATGTTGACTTGACGAATAAGAATTTGAGAAATCAGAAAAAGCGCTCACCGTTATTCCCTTAACTCAAGATAACGATCTTACAGATCAATCGACGCGTTTCAATGCTCGCATTGTTCGAAACAAAACATCTTTTCCCAGTATAGAAAAAGCAATACAAAATACAATACACGTATTTTCGATGCATCAAATTTTAGAAGGAAAACTTCATCTTCAAGTATGTTCACCCAATAAACATAAAAACTGATATTTTGGGCTTTCGATGACAAAAAGTCGAGGTTAAAATGGTGTGAGTTGTATACAAGTCAATATATGAAAATCTCACCTACACCCAAAACTAACACTTCGGTGCCACACCTCATATTCAGATTCAGTCCCATATTCTGTACATAACTATTTCTAAAATGAAACTAAAAAAGCTGAATGAAGAGTATCCAAATGTCAACAATGAATATCACAGTGAAATAGCTTGTATCTGAAAAAAACTTTAAGTACTTGTTCACTTACTCGTTGTTCATCAAATGGTCAGGCATAGAATATTTGGTTATATTTTATAGAATATTTTATGATGATTATCAATTGTGAAACACTCATGCATATGTATCATTCAATCTTTCGAGTGATAGTAATATCGTCTCAGCGTCATCTTTCAGTGCTGCTAACAATAAATAAGTGACACAACAAAGAAAAATTCGAAGACAGCCTACGAAAGCAAATGAAATTGTCAATAAACTTTGAATAATATGTACTTTTTTTGTTGATATTAAAGGTTCAATGATGAAAATGTGTCGATCTGTGACAGAATTTTCGAATTCCTGACATTTTACTCGTGAGAATTAAGTTTTTTACGTTGTCACAATCAACATGCATTAGAATTTTTCAAAAATAAAAAAACTGCAGAATATGGCGTGCTGATGGTGTGGGTGTGGGTTAAAATCAGAAAAACACCCACACCCTTCTCGATGTCAATATATGCGGCGCATTCCGTACTTTTTCAATATGTATAACTTGTTTAAAAATAAATGAAGTATAATAATAAAAACATAAGAAAACTAAGGGAGGAAATTCGATTGACTTTCAAACTAGTATGGGAAAATATCTATCATCATCGTGATCAGCTTGTCAAGCTGAACCAACCTGTCTAACTCTCTTTCTTGATTGTAGATTAACACTAGAGAATATTGCCGTGCTAGATACGGAAATAAGGTTATTGATCGGTACTTTTTCCATATTTTATCTGTGGTAGTTCAGCTTTGGAACACAAAAGAATTGAAAATTTTCCTTTCTAGAAAAGTTTCTATATATTCTAACAAGAACATTGATTGTTATAAGGTGTTAAAACAGTATCCACAGTTTCAATAAGTTTACTAGTGGACTAACACGACTGATTATCTGTTTGGAATTAATTCTGATGTCATGTACGCAATGTGTCAAAGTTTAATTACGTTTTATGTAGATTTTGCTTATATAGTAGAAATTATATGAGATAGAATTATGTGAAAATCGGAAAATATTTTTAACTTGCAAATGCTCGAACATGAAATTTCTCATGGATGACAATGACATGACTGTTAGGACAAAAGAGCAAGAAGAAGACTAGGAAATCCTGGATGAAAACTAAAGAACAACTTGAAAAGTACGTAGTTTTTTATATTCTAAGTTAGTTTTTCAACTGTTACACTATTGAATGATCAAGAAAAGTTTATTTTTGGTTTATAGAATTCTTATAATTAATTTTAAATGATCAATGAATCATAGATGTATATTCATGAAGTTTGCAAAAAACAAAATTGTACAGTAATACTATCAAAATGAGCCTATTGGTTGAAATATTTCATGTCCATCAGCACAGGCACGTTGAGTAAATTCATCGGTGCAAGCCATTCGAAGTCATTCGACAGTTGCTGGTGAATGAAGCGTAAAATAATCTGATAAACCTTGCTGTTCTCGATATGCTTTACATGCTTATTTTAAAGCAAAAAAAAGCCGAAGCAGCAAGTAAAACTGGTGGTTCACCAATTCCTTTTGACGAATAGATAGCTCGCGGATTTAACGAATCAGATAATAGTGAAACACGAAAATCGATAGGAACATCACTAAATGATGGAATTTTATAAGTATCTACGCCACAAGTGAATAATTCTCCTGGTGGAATCCATTTATTTAGTTTTTCATCGCCCCATATGAGTTCTTCCATGGTATACAAACCGATTCTTTGCATAAAACCACCTTCGATTTGACCAATATCAATATAAGGATTGAGTGATGTACCAACATCCTATAATGATTAAAATAAATTTATTGTTAATCACATAAAACTTGACATACCATGAGTATATCAACGCGTAAAAGATGCCAATCTCCTGTTAATACATCTAATTCAACTTCTGTCACTGCTGCACCTTGTGTAAAATAATTGTAATTAGCTTGATTTTTTGTAAAATCAGCACTGAACATGTTCGGTGTTATATAGAATCCACGTGCACATAAATCAAGACGAGCAAAATAAGCTTGTTTTATAAGATCTTCCCATGAGATGTGAACATTATTATCAACAATAAGTGTATCTAATCGTTGACGAATTTGTTCACAAGCATATCTTACAGCCATTCCGTTAAGATCCGATGCAGTTGATGCAGCAGTTGGACTTAAATTATGAATTTTATCTGTTGCTGTTTCACTAATTCGTATTCTATCAATATTACAACCTAATATTTCAGCAGCTATTGCTATCATCTTTGTATGGAGACCTTGACCCATCTCGACACCGCCATGACTAACTACTACTGAGCCATCTCTGTAAACATGTACAAGAGCTCCTGCTTGATTTAGAAATTGAACTGTAAAACCAATGTCAAACTTAACTGGCATCATACTTATACCACGTTTTCGATATATATTTTTTCGATTAAATTCTTCAACATTGAATTGTCTTTGAATAAAATCACTTGATTTAGTAAGTTCATCCAAAATTCGTGGAATATTCCATAGTTCTAAAATCTATCCATAATGAGTAACATCACCTTCTTTGAATAAATTAAGGCGACGAATAGTGAATGGATCACATTTTAGACATGCAGCAACATGTTCTACAATTGTCTCACATGCTAACATAGCTTGTGGTCCACCAAAACCACGAAAAGCTTAAATCAGAAGAAAAACAGATGTTCCAGTTATCTGAAATAAATTATGTAACAAACCAGTATTTGATGGCAAATGTGTTTTACAAATACGACCACGAATTCGAATATTAGAAAATTTATATGTATTCTCCATATGTAGCATAGCGAGTTGCATAATAACTTCTGACGCATCCAATGTACAACCAGCATTACTCCACATTTGAATATCAAGTCCTGAAAACTGACCTTCGTTATTGAATGCTATTTTATATTTAATTTAAAATGGATGTCGATGTCCAGTTATTGATATATCGATACGACGTTCAAGATTGAGTCAAACAGGACGACCAAGTTTAACAGCAGCTACTGCTACAGCACCACAAAGGGGTAAACTAAAACATAACAAACATGTAATATTATATATCAAAACAGGGATATCATGTCACAAAGCCCAAGTAAAATTCACACAATCACATACAGGGCACACAAATTTAAAATAGAAGACTAAAATCATAACTAAACCATTTTTTGATACGTGTTACTAGAAAAATTAAGATGGATGGAATCTAGTCAAATAAATATCATTCATTCATAATAATCGGTTAAGTTTGATAAGAAATGCATCTATTATAATCCATTTAAAAAGTCCGTGCGTGTGACTGTTTTTTGAATAACTCGAGAAAGCAAACAGCTAGAGACCTGTAGTTTTCACTAATCGAAAGAGGAAGAGTTAGAACGTATTTTTCTCTGATAATGTGTCAGATGAAATTCTTTTAAAACTGATCATCTTTGAAAAATGCATGAAAGTGACATACAATACATATGAAGTTTCGATGATGACCTTTGATTTAGATAGAGGGATTTCAGATATATAGTTCAAAACATAATACACTTTCTTACGTTTCATTACATTTTCATCGAAGTATCCAGCTGTTTTAAAAAAAAATGCAAAGACCTAGTAAAACATTAGCAAAATTTTCTATTATTCTTGAACAATAGATCTGAAGTCCCTCTATCGAAATCAAAGGTCATAATTGAAACTTCATGTGTATTGTATGTCATTTTCATGCATTCTTTTCTATATTTTTCAAAGATGATCAGTTTTAAAAGAATTTCGTCTGACACATTGTCAGAGAAAAAGACGTTCTAACTCCTCCTCCTCTTTCGATTAGTGAAAACCGCAGGTCTCTAGCTGTTTGCTTTCTCGAGTTATTCAAAAAATAGTCACATGCACGGACTTTTTAAGCAGACTATTGTTTGTTTTCTGCAAGTATTTGACCAACTCGCATCGTTAGTTTATAACACAAAGAATTCAATTTTAAATGATAATAAATATAATAGTACTATTTGTACTTCCTATTTATATAAAAAGCTCTATGATTAAGTTTTGAAAGTTTTCACTAACATACAGTTGATTTTATTTAGTGCAGAGGAAGAATGCTAACATAGAGCATTGCAAAAAAGAAAATGTGAACTAGAAGTAGAATTTATTTCATAGTGCAAAAGTTCGAAAATGAGGAACTGTACTTGAAGATGAAGTACATATGGTAGTTTGATGTACTGAAAAGATGAAATATTTCACTTACGATCTTGTTTCTTTTCCGCCAAATGCTCCACCAATTCTTTTAACATGACATGTTATACGATTAACATTTCGACCGAGTGCAAATGCTATTAATTCTTAAGCATCAGTTGGATTTTGTGTTCCCACATATAATTTTATTTCTTGATCATCATTCGATGGTATAACCATACATGATTGTGTTTCCATATAAAAATGTTCTTGACCGCCAATAAATAATATATCTTCTAAAACGTGTTCAGCATCTAGAAAAACTTTCTCAACATCACCTCTTTGTAGACAAATTTCATTTCCAAAATAAGATTGATGATCAATAGCATCTTCAATCGAAAGAATTCTTGGTGACAATAATTCATAATCAATTTTAATAAGATTTGCAGCTAATTTAGCTGCATGTTCAGATTCACAAACAACAAGACCAATAATAGCACCAACACAAAGTGCAATCGATGATACGAATACTTCTTCATCAGGTAAAATATTATCCAATTTATTCGAACCTGGTACATCAGTATAATTAACAAATGATACAAAACCTGCAACTTTTGAAGCATCATCAATATCTATTAATTATGAGATTAATTTCAATGAAATCTATGAAAAATAATTTCAAAAAAAAAATTACCAATATGTTTTATTCGTGCATTTGCTTTTGTACTAAGTACAAGTGCACTATAAAGTGTATTGATATGTGATGGCATATCATCCACATATATAGCTTCTCCTGTTGTATGTAAATAAGCAGATTGATGTGATAATGAACTACCAACATATTTTTGCGTTTGAGGTCGTTCAGGTATTGTCTGTTGACCATGAGATATTTCTCGATGATAAGAAAAATCAACAGAATCAATTACTGACTCACGTAATTCATTACATACATATGAATAAAATTTAAAGAGAAATGATTGCATTAATGTTCGTCTAAACAAAATTCAAAATAATACCATCATGAATTAATAATAATAGTTACCTGTATTGAATTTGACCACCTGGACTTAATTCATCAAGTGATATTTCTTTAATCAATAACTCATATGTTTGATTAATCGTTTGTTTTGTCCATAACAATCCGATTAATTGTTGTTGAATATTTTTTGGTGAAATAGTTTTTGATGCCATTCCACCAAATGAAAAACAAATTGAAATAATTTTCCATTGATTATCAATGGAATTCAATTTTTCAAGTTCAACTTTAAATGCAGCACTAACAATTCCTTTTGAATCATCTCGACGACGAGCTTATTTATATGAACGTAGAAAGTATTTATTTGATGATTTTTCAAGAGGAATATGAATGGCAACAAGAATTTCATTATCTGCTATTGAAACACGACGATTACCAAGAAAAAAATCACACAATTGAATTTGACGTACTTTTTCATTATCAGCACAATGTAATTCAAGTATAGCACTTGCAGCTTCTAATACAGGATTGATATCCGAACTAGGGAAAGAAAAAATCATGAGAAAGTTTTAAAAGATATTTTATTGCATATATTACTTACATAGGTGAAGCAGAAATTATATTTCCACCAATCGAAGCAACATTTCGAATTTGTGTCGATGCGAAATGTTTCATTTGATCGAGTAAAGCTTGGCAAAATTTATCTTCATTTTTCCATTGAACTAATTTAGATTTTAAACGTGCAAATGTAACACCAGCTCCAATATATAATGAATCATCGGTTCGTTTTAGTTCTTGTAATTCTCTAATATGTGTGATTGATATCAAGCGAGAACAATTCATTTGATTATATTTTCTTTCAAGTTCTACTCTTGTATTACCAAAAATAAGTTTGGATTGATTACCTGGATAACTATGACGAAGTTGAATAAGTTCATTCAATGATATTGGACGATACCATTCAAACGAAGTACCTATGAGTTTATATAAAGACATTGTTAATCATACAAACAAATGAACGTTTTCAAATGATAAAAAAATAAATAAATTCGAGAGAATGTAGATGTCAATTAGGATTTTTCTGAGCTAATAACTTTTCCTACAAAATATCACTTTTTAAACTTATGACCGAAAACTTTCTTAACAACAAGACCTGACATTGACGACTTTGTCTAGAAAGTTTCAGAGAAATTCTTTTGTGAGATGATGCGTTCTGACACACTGATGTGTTGTAAGTTCAAATGGGAAAATATTGTATATAAATTTATCGCGTTCTATCTATTGCCTATTCATTCTCAGTTTTATTTTGCATGAATAGCTTGATCTAGACAATTCAACTGAACGTACTAAACTTGTATATTTTTATGTTAATTTTTTTTTCTCGATTATTTATTAGTCACAAAATATGCCGAACTCGATCCATGATCGAAAGGGAGACTGTCCAAATGAGATCTGACCTCCTACGATTTTCAGAATATGAATAATTAATTGAGAAAAATTGACAAAAATACCCTAATTGACTTTTACAGAAAAAGAAATGAAAAATGCGCTTCATCTTAGATTCGAACGACATTTTGAGAATGTGTCGCAAAGTACAACATATGCGACACATTTTATTTTAGTGTGTATTATGATCTTGAAGGAATTCTGATTATTGCTCGAAGAATGTGTTAAAAAACCTTTTATGTCATGGTCCTGCTCTATAGATTCCTTTTTGTTTTTAGGAAAAATATGATATCGAAAGATATTATAACTTGTTGAACATAATTATTCGATAGATTTAAATAAGAAGATACCTTTTATATGGATGGATTGAGGAATATAATCTCGCAGTTTGTCAGGAAATGGAACTCGATTGATTGGTGATGTATTTTGATGAGCATAGGAGAAACACTTATCGAATGTAGTTGATACTCTTGGTGATGAAGATTTTTGATAATCTAGTTTATTAATATCACATGCAAATGTTTTTGCAGCATCAAGAATTGGTCGATATCCAGTACATCGACAAAGATTTCCATCAAAAGCTTCCTCAATATCTTCCATTGTTGGTAATGAATTATCTTTTGATGTAACTGTTCCATATAAAGACATAACCATACCTGGTGTACAAAAACCACATTGTGAAGCAAATAATTCTGCAAGACGTATTTGAGTAGAATGAAGATTTGACTTGCTAGTTGATCCTAATCCTTCCACAGTGACAACGTGACATCCATCAATAGAACATACAGGTGTTAAACATGCATTTATTCTTCTATGTTCAATTTCACCAGAATTTCGATTAATACATCGTGAAATTAAGACTGTACAAGCTCCACAACCACCTTCACCACAACCCAATTTCGAACCAGTCAATCTTAATTCTAAATAGAAAAAAACAAATTAAAGTGAATCACATTTACGAATATTTTTGCTATTTACTATTTCTTAAGTACCAAAGAAGATTCCATTCAGATTCAACATTACGCTCCAAAATTTCTTTTCCATTTACATAAAACAAGAGATGGTCGACCATCGTGATAATTTTTCTTCAACTATCAATTGTTCTGTGCACAAAAATGTGTTTGATCAAAGATTAGAGATAAGATAATTGATGAGAAGAGAATGGGAGTATTTTACATACTATAAGTTGGTTAAAAACATTTCTTTCTTTTAGTCAATAGAAGCAAATGCACTTCTCGTTATCAGCATCTATTTGCATTTTTTTTATTAGTATGTAATGCCAAAAAGAATATACACCTAGTAATCGAGACAGCTGGAAGATACAAATGGTTAACATGGTCATGTAACTCTTCAACATATGATTGAATACTTGATTCCATTTTGATAATTTTTATTTCATGTATGCCAGGTGCTGGTTGAATGATTGTAAAAAAAGCGTTTTATTTCTAGAGACAAATGACTTAAAAACTACTTTTATAATTAGATAATCTGTTATATCGAAAGTATCCATACTAATGTCGGCGCCAAAAGTAAATGGTGAAAACTCTGAGAGGAATATCTCCCGAACGGATTCAGCTAGCGATCTGCGGTTTTCACCAATCGAACGAGGAGGAGTGGGGGCGTCTTTTTCTCCGATAATGTATAAGACGGAATCTTTTTATAACTAATCATATTCGAAGAACATGCAAAAGAACCCATGAAAATGACCTGTCAGCTAGATGAAATTTTGATTTGAGCTTTGGTTTAGATAGAGAAACTTGAGATCTATAATTCCAGACACAATGCGCTTTGTTACTTTTTCATACATTTTCCTCGAAGTCTCAAGCTACCTTGATAAAAAGTGTAAAACTTAGTAAAAAACTAGCGAAAATTCCTATGATTTGCGCATGTAAGTACATGATCTCATTTGCGCAACGTTAGAATGTAACAAGACAACCATTTGCCTTGTATCTGGAGCTATAGATCTCAAGTCCCTCTATCTAAATCAAAAGTCAAAATCAAAATTTCATCTAGCTGGAAGGTCATTCGCATGGGTTCTTTTTCATCTTCTTCGAATATGATTAGTTATAAAAGGATTCCGTCTTATACATTATCGGAGAAAAAGACGCCCCCACTCCTCTTTCGATTGATGAAAACCGCAGGTCGCTAGCTGTATCCGTTCGGAAGATATTCCTCTCAGAGTTTTCACCATTTACTTTTGGCGTCGACATTAGATATGTATTAGTGAAATCATTGCAGCCAATAAAAAATAAAGGAAAGAAAATCTTTGTCTATTTCATGGTTTCCACATACATGAAATTTATCCTGATATCATCGCATAAATTAATCATACTAATAAAGAATAATAAAATTGCCAATAGTTAGACGAGTTTTGCCGCATCAATTACAATGTGATGATTTGATACTTGATAGTATGAGTACTCTTGTTAAACAATCCTAGTGAAAGTACTCACCTGGAGAGTACTCAAAAAGTACTCACGTTAGAAAATGCCGTGAGTACTCGTTGGTCGTACTCGCGATGAGTTTCGAGTATATGAGTACTACACATCCTTACTTTTATGGCAGTGTATTCTAGTCGAGTACTACGACCGTTCATTTCTTATAGTTAGTAGTAACTAGACCATTTAA